TTTTTTTTTTTTTTTTTTTTTTTTTTTTTTTTTTTTTTGAATTTTTTCGGCTTTGGAGGTATTCCGTTCAGTCTTTCATTTATTTTTTATTTTTTTGTTTATTTATTCTATTTATTTTATTTATTTATTATTTATTTATTTATTTATTTATTTATTTATTTATTTATTTATTTATTTATACGGAGAAGTATATTCCCTAATGATGTTATATTAAACCTTAGCAAAGAATGCCCTATACGTATAGCAAATAAATGAATAAATAATCATTTTTTTTCTTTTTTTTCTTATTTATTTATTTATATATTTATTTATTAATTTATTTATTTATTTACGCAGAGAAGAATATTTCCTGAGGATGTAATACTAAATCTAAGCGAAGAAAGTCCTGTCCCTATAGCAAATAATATAAATGGTCATTGTTGGCGAGATATTGCTCATGATCCTCGTGTTACTTGGTTAGCTTTTTATAGGGATTCAATTAATGATCAAGTAAACCCTAAACCCTAAACCCTAATTTATAATTAATTGGATAAAAAAAGGGAGCATTAAGATACACTTGTGCATTTATATTATTATTACTATACTTATAATAATAAATATATTAGGGTTTATTATGTGCTTTTTTTTTTATTTAATGCTGTTCTTTCCTTTCTTCTTCTTTTTTTTTGTCTCCTCTCCTTAATATATTTTCTTCCCTCTCCTTATATATATATAAACCCTAAACCCTAATATATATCTTATTCTTTCCATTTTTCATTTTTTTGAATTTTTTGAATTTTTTGAATTTTAGGGTTTAGGGTTTAGGGTTTAGGGTTTAGGGTTTAGGGTTTAGGGTTTATGGTGTATATATTATAGGTAAAATATATGTATTTAGCAGCGCAATCAGGATTTAAAGGACAACAAGATTTTTTAAAGTATGAGAAAGCAAGAAGATTAAAAAATTATGTAAATAAAATAAGAGAAGATTATCATAAAAAGATGAAAAGTTATGATCATATTGATAAACAATTAGGTACTGCTACTTATTTAATTGATTTCTTAGCATTAAGAGTTGGAGGAGAAAAAGATACAGGTAATATTATCTAGGGTTTAGGGTTTAGGGTTTAGGTTTTAGGGTTTAGGGTTTAGGGTTTAGGGTTTATGGTGTATTTTTCATTTTTTCCGATTTTCGGGTTTAGGGTTTAGGGTTTAGGGTTTAGGGTTTAGGGTTTGTGTACAGATGAGGAAGCGGATACAGTAGGGTGCTGTAGTTTAAGGGTTGAGCATATTTCCTTTGATGCGGAGAAGATGGAGGTTACGTTAGATTTTCTTGGCAAAGATTCTATTAGATACTATAATACTGTTAAGGTATTTCTAGGGTTTAGGGTTTAGGGTTTAGGGTTTAGGGTTTAGGGGTGGTTGGAAGGTTTACAGTTTGTTGGAGTGATTATTAGTTCTTTCTTAATTAATTAATTAGTATTAATATAATATTAATACAATTAATTAAATTTATTTATTTATTTATTTATTTATTTATTTATTTATTTATTTATTTATTTATTTGTTTATACAGATAGACCCTCAAGCATTTAAGAACCTCCAAGGGTTTTGTAAAGGAAAGAAAGCAGATGCAGATGTATTTGATTCTATTAATGTAAGTTTATTTATTTATTTATTTATTTATTTATTTATTTTATTTATTTATTTATTTATCTATTTTCTGCTGCTGCTGCTGCCGTTGGTTTGCTTATTTATCTTATTTCCTTGTTATTCGTGTTTGTTGCTACCCTTACCTCCTCACCCCTCATATATAAACCCTAAACCCTAATTTACGTATTTATTTATATTTATTTATATTTATTTATATTTATTTATTTATATTATACAGAGTACGTCATTAAATAATCATCTAAAACAATTAATGCCTGGACTAAGCGCAAAAATGTTTAGGACTTATAATGCTAGTATAACCCTACAACAAGAACTAGAAAAATTACAGTAAACCCTAAACCCTAAACCCTAAACCCTTGCTAAACCCTAAACCCTACTTAAAAAACCCTATGTAAACCCTAGCGCAGGAATAAATATCAACCATAAGGATAAATGCACTGCATGCAGTTGTGTTGGTTTTAAATTAGGGTTTTAAATCATCTACAAAGGAGGGAGAATTTAGGGTTTAGGGTTTAGGGTTTAGGGTTTAGGGTTTGTGGTATATAGGCCAACATTGACGAAATTTAAGGAAGATTTAGAGAAGGAAAGATTAAAGAAAGAGGCAAAAGGAAAGACTAAAAAAGGAGTAAAAGCTGAGCAGCAAGCTGCAGCTGCAGCAGCAGCAGCAGCAGCAACAGCAGCAGCAACAACAACAGCTGCAGCAACAGCAGCAGCAGCATCTGCATCAGCAGCAGATGATGATGATGATGATGATTTACCATTAAAAGAAAAGAAAATAAAAACAGAAAAAGAAAAAGAAAAAGAAAAAGAAAAAGAAGAAAAACCTATCCTTAATGTAGATATATCTGATGTTAATCAACTTGTTCAATTCTACAATGATGCTAATAGGTAAACCCTAAACCCTAATTTCCCTAAACCCTAATTTCCTTAAACCCTAAACCCTAAAGTAGTAGAGTCTTAATACCAAATCAGACACTTGAGAGAAGGAGGTTTTAGGGTTTACTAGTTTGAGGGTTTAGGGTTTAGCTCCTGAGGGTTTAAAATGTTTAAATATTTATTAATTAAAAATAATTAGGGTTTAGAATATTAGGGTTTAAAATTCTTAAAATTTGAATTTTTTTTCATATTTGAAATTTTTAGGGTTTAGGGTTTAGGGTTTAGAATTTCTAGGGTTTAGGGTTTAGGGTTTAGGGTTTACGTATATACAGGGGCGTAGCAATTCTATGTAACCATCAACGATCCGTACCTATGCAGCACTTGAAATATCCTGTGTTGGAAATTTTTCACATTTGAAATTTCTAGGGTTTAGGGTTTAGGGTTTAGGGTTTAGGGTTTAGGGTTTAGGGTTTAGGATTTCTAGGGTTTAGGGTTTAGGGTTTAGGGTTTATATATATGTATATATTCAGGGCGGTAGCAATTTTATGTAACCATCAACGATCCGTACCTAAGCAGCATGCAGCATCTATGGCTCGTCTGCAGCATCAATTAGATGGTATAGAAGAAGATATAAGAGAGTGCAAAGAATTTCTTAATTTTATTAAGAAAGAAAAGAATAAAAAATTCAAGTTTGTATCCGATTTTAAGGTATATAAACCCTTGTAAACCCTAAACCCTAATCTAAACCCTAATTAATAATCATAAACACTAATTTATTTTATTATTATTCCTTTATTTTATTACAAAACATAAACATAAAAAATTCTAATTTGTGTAAACCCTAATGTAAACCCTAATGTAAACCCTAATGTTGGTATTAAGCACCCTTCTTATTCAATTCACTTGTAAACCCTAAACCCTAAACCCTAAATGAGTGTTTGTACAGAGTCTAAAAGGAGAGCCAAGGAAATCAATTGTTCGTGAGGGGATGAAGGAAGATGCAGTCATAAAAAAAATTGCTCAATTAGAGTAAGTCGTTAAACCCTAAACCCTAAACCCTAAACCCTAAACCCTTATTTATTATACATATACACATATATAAATATGTTGTATTTCCCTTGGGGGTTCTGTTTAGGGTTTATATTAAGGGGTTTAAGGGTTTATAATAAAGGGTATATATATATATATATATATGGCATTACATATATATATTTACAAGGGTTTAGGGTTTAGGGTTTAGGGTTTAGGGTTTAGGGCATATAAAATAGATATTTATGTATAATGTATGGTATAAAATAAGAAAAGGGTTAGAAATAAAGAAAATAATAAGATAAAGAATAAAATAAATAAATAAATATATTATTTTATGTATATTTATGTATATATTAGGAAAAAAAAAAATTCACATCTATTACGCATGCAAATAAAAGATAGTAATAAAACTGTTGCATTAGGTACATCTAAAATTAATTATATGGATCCTCGTATAACTGTTGCATTCTGTAAAAAATACGAATTACCTATTGAAAAAATATTCAATAAAGTACGTCTTTTTTTTTTTCTTTATTTATCTTATTTATTTTTTTTATTTATTCTATTTATTTTATTTATTTATTTATATTTTTTTTTTTTTTTTTTTTTTTTTTTTTCTTGAATTT